GATAAAATATATACTAAAACCCAGAACTCTTTCACAAATATGAAATATGCTGTTCAGCTGTCCACTGCATGTGCTCTTCAGTGCTCTGTGACAGATTTAGTGATAACTCATCACCCCAGCATTTCAGAAGGTAATCTGAAATGAGAGGGACAGCATCTTTCTCTTCCCACCATCCATTTTCCTTTTGTCAGCTTGCTAGTTAAAAAGACAATGTGATACTTTCAACAGAATGCATCTTTATCATCGGTTAGCGTTACTGCTCCTTATTCCTACAGGAATGCTACTCATTCAGTAAAATAATTCATTAAAACAATTAAAACAAACCACCTTTAAAAGTGGTCTGTTTTTAAAAATAGCAGATATTGCCAAGGTATAGAAGACTTAATCCTTTTATGGCAGCACAGCAATCTGTTCCTAACAAATTTCACGATGGAGGGGTTAGTATCTTACTTATTTTCGCAAATAAATTCTCAGTTACAGACTAAATAGCAGCATTACAATTTAGATTTGACAGCACTGCAACTTGGGAAGCAACTGGTTCACATTAAGGTTAAAGGGCCATTCATTATTAAAAAGTCTGATAAAAAACCTCCAGCTACCAAAAATAGGGGAAAACCAACAGTGAAGAATTCTGGATAAACAACAACAAAAAATAAATTTAAACTGGATGGAAGATTTTGGTCATTAATAAAAGAAAAACTAATTTTCAAACACCTTGTTTAACAATTTATTATTTGTTCTAAATCTGCTCCATTCTTACAACTTTCTATTATGTAGCTCTGACCTTAATACTGGTTTTTGTCTGTTCTAAGAAGGTTACATCTTCAAGTTACTTTCATGGCTATTTTATTTTTAAGTAATATTTACAGGCTGCATAAAAGTGTTTATTTGCTGCAAGATCCACCAGGCTTTGTGAATAGCATGTAGCTAGACTAGACAGAAGTAATTTCCTAGTTTATTACTAATCATTTTATTTTTAGCACACTCTTATGCTATCCTGAAGACAGACATGTTGCACTTGGTACTTACTAAAAAGGTGAGAAGGAGAAAAAGTCAGATTTTCAAAATCTGTTTGGGAAGATTAAACAGTCTTTAATCTATTTGCCTATTTTGGTATTAAAGGGCATGCACCACCTCATCCGGAAGTATAATTATTTGATTTTCAGAGATTTAGAGCTAGACCAAGCTACATTTCTAAATTCATTTGGATATTTGTATTTCAAAGGCCCTTACCTTCACGCTTTATTTGCTATAAATACAAATGTCATGCAGTGCCTGCATTTTAAAGCACAAATATCTTTCCTGCAAAAAAGTAGCCTTGTATCAACAGTTTCCTTTTTTATTTATTTACAAGTAGGGTGACTGATTATCAGTGATATGCGGACAAAAAGAAAATTTAATAGGTAATGTTTCATCTACTGTTACAGCTTTATGCGTGCTCAGGCAGTACACAAGAATGACAACTTCAAAACTACACAGAAAAACATTTGCACAAAGAAAATCTACCAAAAATTACATCTTTTTTAATGTACAGAGCAGAAGGAGAACATTGCTCTTCTGCAAAAAATCATGTCACTTGGAATGTATGAATTGAAAAGACTAAAAAATGTTGGCAGAACAAGCTACCTTTTAGAAGAAAGTTACAGATTGATAATACAGTGGTGAACTGATGGCTTACTGAGAACATGCATTCAGTCTGACAGCACTCCTGAGCAAGAGAAAGGAAAAATGTTATACACTCTACATCCCTTGTTGCTGATGACAAGAATCTTTTAAAATGATATTGCCTAATTCCCCTGAAAATCATGTGTAAAAGAAGTGGCAGGCAGTTTGCTATGCTGTCTGGGATGGTATTTTGGAGAAATCTGATCACCAGGAATGCTCAAATTATTGTTATCTTAAAAACAAAGCATAACCACAATGTTTTTTTTTATTTTACGGGTGTTTTTAATGTCTCTCAGAGGCATTTCTTCCATCCTCAAACTGCAGCTTTTTAACCCTGGATCTGACAAACACAGATATTCAGAATAGAAATGTTCTCTCTCTTTTTTCTTTTTTTTTTTTTTTAATTTCTCCCCAAAACCACACCATTTTCAATGTGATTTACAAATAAAATATTACTTGAGGCACTTAAAATACCTACATGTTTCAGAGAAAAAAATATCAGATCACTATTAGTACTCAAAACTGCTCTAAAGAAAAGTACTTAAAGAGCTATTTTATGCATTTAATTACATTTGTAGTTTGCTTACATTTTCTGTTTAGGAGAACAATTTTCAAGTGCCTTTGTAACCTGGCTTTCTGAAATAATCCAATTAGCTTTTAATAATGCCTTATTTGTAGTGCTTTACTGGTTAAGTAATTTTACTGATTGCTATAACACAAAAATACTTCTACATTTTGATTTGCAAGACAGAGAACAATGAAAAAAAAACCCAGACAAAAAAGGAAATTCCTAGTATCCCAGGTGCTCTGGGATTTGTTCATCACCTTTTTACCAAACAATAAAACTATAACTAGTCTTCATATTCCTGGACAGGACTTTCTTGAACACCAGACATGACTTTATAAGCAGTCAGCTTCTTCAGCACAGCTACATGCACTAGATATTAAAAATGTACTTTTTACTATTTCCCCACCTTTTTTTTCCCCCCGTTTGTAAAATGGTAAAATTTACTTAAATTTCCTTCACATCATCTAGGCATACACTCTAAGCTGGCCACAGAGGACTAAGACAGTTAACATAAAAGGTTAGCATTTTAAAAAGGCAATTCACTGCACACTAAAATAAGGATCTAAGGTAGGGGAATGGGCTCCCTCCAGCATGTATTTGTTAAGTACTATGCTCTAGCACAATGAAGAAGCACATTTAAACACCACCAATTAAATTAAATTAAAAACAAACTCCTGATTTGTACAACAGTCTTGGTTAATTAGACTAACCCATATAAAAAGTGTTTTTCTTGCATTTTTCATAGAAGTCACTTATGCTAGCGGGTTTGTTCGCATTGTCACAGTATTTTGTCAGCCACTGATTTAGTGCCATACAAGTATAGAATAATGAAAAAAATATTCCTTACCTCAAAGAGCTCACTTTTAAGATAAGTACCTGCACAGCACAGTGCATTGCTGTACAAAGATGTTTGAGTTAGCCCAGAACCAGTACAGCTGAGGCAGCAGGATGCTCTGCCCAGCCTAATTAGCCTTGCAGAGAAGCAGGCTTTATCAGCCTGGAAAATACACTCAGCTACAGCTTAGCCGTTCCGCTTCCAAAGGTAGTTCTTTCACAGCTAGCTCAAATATCTGTGCATTTGGAGAGCATGGAATACAGATCTGTTTATTAATCACACTTTTTTTGTGATTAATAAACATATCTATTTCTAATGGTTATAATTCAGGTCACTCTTACTCCGGTTAATAAGGTAGGCTTTCTAAGTAAAATAAAACTTAACTCATAAGCTAAGGAGTGAAAACTCCAGAAATTATTGTGTTTCAAGAAACACTTTTTAGCTGTTTTAAAATCTTACCCTTCAAAAGCACAAACTATGTGCCCCTAACGCATTCTAAAGTATTGCAATTATACAACTGTTAAAATGGACTTAGTTGTAGAGTAACAAAGCCCTTTCCACAAGTACTCAGAGACTTATGAAAGTTCATTATCCAAAACATGGTTTACTAGAAAGGTCAAGGTATGCCTCAAAGAACAGGCACAGAGATGACAAATTACTTTTCCCTGTGTATTTATACTTCCTGCCATGGTTTTCAGCACTGCCAGTTCTCCATCTCTTCTTCAGAATGGAAGAGTTAAACAAAAGTCCATAACAAAGGTGAATTTTCTGAATTTTCTTCAAAGCTAATCTGCAACGTTCAACTTATGTGTGTTTCATCATACAGCCTACACACACAATTTCACTGTTTTGAAGCATTGCTGAATTACACATACAGAAAATCTCCAAGATACCAACAGTTTTAAATATAAGAAAGTAATTGTCAAGAATGTGTGCAGTGAACCTTCCACAACAAATCTTTTTGGCTACCAAGAAAATAAAAATCTTACTAAAAAGGCTTATACCGAAAAATCTTGCCATATATACGACATGACAAAATATGGGGTTTTTAGATGTTAGACATACAAGTAAACAACTTCACCTTCAAGAGTAAAGAAAACAGGTATCAGGTCTCAGACTGCCAGAAAACTAATCCTTTTCCTTTTCAGTTCTACAGTACTGCTATAAAAATCCAAGATTAGCATCTGTATCACTCAATTTAGAATCATATGAAGGTGATGAGCAACAGTTATTGCTGAGAATATAAAGGTAGTGACTGACTTTGATTCACTAGTAAATGCAATAACCTTACAATTGCTTCAAAAATTAATTTCTTTTTTATCTTGAAAATGACATTAGCTTATGTCTGTGTTTGCTAAGGTTTTTAAGGTGAACACCTGATTCTCAAGCAGTAGTGTTTTAAATAAAATTTGTTTTCCAAAACGCTCGTGATATCAACACCTACGAAAACGCAGGTTTAAGCTTCAAATTTAGAATAACATAACCAAACCACCATTTCAAGTTACTAGCTTTAAATACCCAAGTATGTTATGAAAACCTACACATTGAAAAAAGCACTCCTCAAAACATATATACCTTAACACAAAGACAGGCTGTTTCATAAATATCTATTTAGAGTATTGCCTAGCTTCTAACACAGAAAATTGCCACTTTGAAAGAGCTAGAAAAGCAGAGAGAAAAATTCAAATGCAAAACTAAAATCACTTTAAAGAAAAGAAAGATTCTCCTAAATCTTGAGATTATCAGTGACTCCAGTATGCCAAAAGTGAAAGAAATCTCATAGAAAGCTTGAGAGAAGCTAGATTTTACATTTAAACAACTTAAACCGGTCAGTTTCAATGAATTCTATATTGTTATTAATAAAACGGTGAAATGGCATGTTTCTCTATGGTCTGTCATACAAAAAAATATCTTAAAAAAAGAAAATCTTACCCTTTCCCATGTAAAAGACAGACCTAGTGCATGAAACTGTTCTCTCATGTGTTGAATATTACTGCAAAAAAAAAAATAATTATTAACTTAAAATATTTCTCTCGTGATCATATTTAAAACCAGATGCTTATAAAGTTCTGAGAAATCAAAAGCACTAGTTAACCTCTAAACATTATTATCTCACTAGTTTGACTGCACAGAACTGTCAGAACACTCATCTTAAATGATAATTTTAGAAGTCCCTAGTGTATTCTGGTTTAATTTCAATGGCTGTGTATACAAGACAACAATTTTTCTTCTCTTGATTTGAGCATAACTGAAAAGCAAATATAGCACTGCAGTTTGAGGGAAATGTTCCTGAAGCATCACTTATTATGTTTAATTATCTTTACTGCAGTTGAGCCAAAGGGTCCTCTGAAATCTTCAGAACGCAGTAGGAGCACTTTCACCATCAGTTCAATCCTGCTCTATTCTGGCAATGCTACCCTGGCTGTATTTCGCTTTGGCTCTGGTGATCATGTGGCTGTAGAGTGAGTGGAATCAGCTTACCCATTCAACTGAAGACATGCCCTACACCAAGTTCTCCAAAAAATCCCTAACAATTTTCTTGCTTCCCTCTGATCAACAGGTTGATCAAACCAATACTGAGGCCACAAAAACAGCTGAGCCAACACAAAGGAAGTGGTGAGAACACATATTCTGGGAGAAGGAACCCCTAAATTTCTGGTGGCAGCACAGCCATAAAGTTAAGTCAACTGTGAAACTGTAGGGCTAGACCTTGCCCCAGATGGATTATACTAAAAATGTAAAATAAGATACATCAGAATATGCAGTGAAGCTTTAGTTTGAAAATGTACTAAATAACAGTTTACCAAAATACCCACAACTACATAAAATTAACTAGTGACCTGGTGTGAATTCATTCACATACTGCAAAATTGCTTAAAATTTCTTACAGACTTGAAACTTTCTACTGAAATGCATTATGTCAGATAAAGTATCATCTGTCCTCCCACAGTGGCTAATTTGACAGTCATGAAACCAAGCATTTAATTCTGATCCAGAACACACTTACACTACTGAATAGCTGAGTAATGCAAGTACCCAGTACTAGCAGTTGCAGAGCCATGGGTATACCAGGAAAGCCTCTTACGGA